TTTTTTCCAACTACTTTTATTTGGGCTTGTTGTTAAACTTATTCTGACATCATAAAATAAATTGGGGGGTCATAGTCTATGGGGTAAAATATTTTAAGTAACACTGGTATTACCCTCTTTAAAAGTTAAATAGAACAAATCATGAAATCATCTAGGCCTAGAGCATTTTCAATCATAAATCTTTAATTACTTTTCCAAATTCTCCAATGGTAATTGTTTCATCAAGTTTTCCACTACTTATTGCAATTTTCATAGCTTATGTTTTGCTGAAAAAGCATCTATTTCTTGTTTTAAAAATATGTTGATCTAGAGTTACATGAAATACCTTTTACCATTCTTTCAGTCACATCTTTATCTGTGATTATGTTTTCTTGTTCATTCTGGATCAGGCATTCTTATAGGGAGGCAAGTCTTGAACAATGTAGCCATTTGTTTTCTTATATAGATTACATACATACCTCATTCAGGGAAGTGGGCTTTGAATTGGAATGATGTAGAAACTTGGGATTTAGTGTCCAGGACATTCAAAGAGAAATTGATAGGGAAGAAAAGTGGATGTGGCCAACTTAAATTGCAGGAAAAAAAAAACAAAGGACTTCTCCTTCATTGATCTGTGCATGAAACATTACTGAATTATAAGACTCATAAAAAGTGTCTCTCCTACTAATTTGCGGCAGGCATTTTAAGCAAGACTAAGAAAACAGGAGTAGTGCACAATATACTAGGGCTATGCTCCTTTTTTGTTGTTAAATAATGAGTGTGCTGAGTCATCAAGTTGACAGCATTTTGTTCACTGTCAGGTTGTGAAACTATTCCTTAGCTTTGCCTTTTCAAGATGAATAAAGGCAAAACAAATAACTTATTTGAATTATTTATTATTTTAGTTAATAATATATTTATATATTAAAATAATAAAGACAAAGTAAGTGCCTTTTTAACATTAAAAACATTTAATCAAGTTTTTGGCTAACTTAACAAAAGCCATTAAAAACATTACTTTATTATTCAGAAAAGGGCCAAACAACAAACCTCTACTTTTCTTCATATATATTTTGTATTTTATCATTCCATTAATATATTTTTAAACTTTAATAAGCCAGAGTGACCAGGTTTATGTATTATAAAGTATTTTCTGTAATCTTTTATATAAAATTTTCTATCACAATTGGAGAATGACTTGCCTTATGGTAAAACACTTGGTTCAAATTCACCAAATCAGTAAGATTTCTCCTAAGGAAGAATTCCTCCACACATAATGAAACAGGATATCTTACTCAAGGCTTTCCGACAATTCTTAGGTTTTAATTCCTATAAGCATTCTTCCTAGCATGAATTTTCTGATGTCTGCTGAGGTTTGGCTTCTGGTAGAAAGCTTTGCCACATTCACTGCATCCATAGGGTTTTTCTCCTGTGTGAGTTCTCCAGTGTTTATTGAGGCATGACTTCTGACTGAAGGATTTTCCACATTCTCTGCAACGATAGGGCCTTTCTCCTGTGTGTATTTTTCGATGTACATTGAGGTATGACTTCTCGCCAAATGACTTCCCACATTCATTGCACACAAAGGGTCTCTCGCCTGTATGTGTTCTCTGATGTTCTCTGCGGTGTGACTTCTGGGTGAAGGCCTTCCCACAAAAAAAACACTCAAAGGGTCTTATCCCAGTGTGTATTCTCTGGTGTTTAATGAGGGTTGACTTATGTGAGAAGGCTTTCCCACAGTCAGTGCATCCATATGGCTTCTCCCCAGTGTGACTTCTCTGATGCCTAATGAATTCAGACTTGTAGCAGAAGGCTTTCCCGCACTCAGTACAGACGTGGGGTTTCTCTGTAGGTGGAACTCTCTTACGTTTGTACACAAGAGAACTGGTGACTGCTGGTTTATACATAAGTGCTGGGTTATGGCTGAAAGCTTTCTCACAATGACTGCATTCCCAGAGCTTTTCTCCATTAGGTTGTCTGTCATGCTTTGTATGTTGTAACAGTTTCCCATATCCATAGCATTCATCTTGCTTTTTTGAATAGTTTCTCTTAAAACCATTCAAGTCTAAATTATGGTTCAAACTTTTCCCGCAAGGGTCCCTGTTATTGGGATTTTGAATTGAAGGGAAAAGATCAGTGCTCAGATGTGATACTTTCCCAAACTTACCATGTTCATGGTTTCTTTCCTTGGGCAGTGTTTTCTTGCTGATGAATGTACTTTGCCTCAAAAATGCATCTTGCCGTCTTTTCCTCTGGACGTTAACTTGCCAAATGTTTTCTAGAGAAAGTACAGCAAATCTTTATGAATCTGTTATTATGATCTGGAATTAAACTGCTAGAGAAATGCCATCAAAATTTAAGGGGTGCACAGTACATGAATAGAGAGCATGAATCATAACTAAAATCACCCATGCAGGGAAGAGCGTCATATGAATAGAGAATAGAGATTCAGGAACTGGCATGGATGCAATGGAATGTGTCATAGAGTATAGAGAGAAATAATCTTAAAGAAGAGGGGATATTATAGCAAAAATGTTCTTAAAAGATCAGAGAGTAAGTATGTCAGGTATTAGGGGCCATATTGCCTTGGTCACAATTACTTAACCTTCCCATTGTATGGTGGGAACACAGACAGTAAGAAAATGTAAGGGTGCAGCTGTGTTCCAATAAAACTTTATTCACAAAACCAGGTGGCTAACCTACAGGCCATAGTTTGCTGGTCTCTGTTATGGAGGAAAGGGGGCTAAAGGTCACATAACACCTTGTTACTGAACATGTGGTTCTCAATGGTCAACTTCAGCCTCATCTGGGAACTTGATGTTGATAGATATGAAGAATCTTGGGCTGTATTCCCAGACCTACAGAGTCAAAATCTGCATTTTAACAAATTGCCCAGATGCTTCTTATCATATTAAGAGTTTGACGAGCACTGTTACAGCAGTCGGAAAGTTTACCATGTTGAGCTGGTTAGTAATAATATAAATGGCAAGGGCTCTAAGATGATCTAGATAAAAGCAGGAATCAACAAAGCTAACTAGAATTTAAAGCAAAAGCTCTTAACTTGGTAGACAGAAATCTGGGAGCTATGAATTTGTATAGGGGGAAAAATTACACCTTTATTTTCACTAAGGTCTAACCACAATTGAGCATTTCTTTTGATTATGAATTGAGCAACCAAACACAGTAGTATTAAGTCTTGTAACTTTGTACTAGTTTGGGAATATGGTATGTTCATGTTACATTATAGTTGTGGAAGATTTCCCAAAATATTTTCACAATCATCTCTACCTGAGATCATGACAGTTATTAGACATGATGCCAGATCTCATTTAATGTGTAAAAAAGGAGGTACACCTGCTAGTATCACTAATATCATTAATATTTTTAAAATACTTTGATATTGCATTTTCTAACTTTATTTCAATAACTATTGTATTTAAGTAATTTCTTCTATAATCTTATGGATTTTATTTTATTTTTATATGTAAAAAAGGGGTCTATTAGGCTTCCCCAGAATGCTTAAAAGTTCCATGGCTAAGAACCCCTGACTTACAGATATTCAAGAATGAGATAATCTGGGTTCAATTTTAGGAGACGTCAGTGGAAAATGCAAAGTAGTGAGGAAGATTTAAAGTCATTTCTCAAAGGAAAAACAACAAAACTAGCACATATGCATAGAACAATCAGAGACGGTGACAGAGACAGAAGATTCAGAATAAGCACATGGTAGCAAAGCTCTGGAATGAAAAGGTGAGGTATGTGTGTGCGTGCACTTTGTGTGTGTGTGGTGGAGGGGTGGTAGCAAGGAGTGAGGATGACTTCAGTTTCTGTCCTTCAAAATACAGGGATAAGTGGACACAAGTGTGGAGATGACCCACTGGTTGGTAAGATGAGGGGAAGGGGCCCTAGGTGGTACAAGGGGGACAAAAGGAGGCAAAATGGCAAAGAGGCCAAGTTGTGAGCATCGTATGGTCTCCAAATGGATGACTTCTTTGTGGGACTTACACCACGAAGAGAATCAAGGTTGGAAAACAGAAAATGGAGCCGTCTCTGGGAAGGAAAAGGCTGGGCTGCAACCAGGGAGAGAGGATACAGAGCACTGAGACAGGAGGACTGACTACATCCCCCCTCCCCCCCCAGTTATTATATAAAATTCTTGAAAGAGGGCAAAGAAAAGCAGCTGACAGCCAGGTTACAATGGTTTCAGGAAAGCTGATGAACATACAGCAAAATACACCTCAGAAGGCACCAGAGTGTGACGGTGAAGAATACTGGTTCAAGAGCCTGACAACCTGAGTTCAAATCCCCATTCGGTTCCTTACTTTCTTATATTCTTAGACAAGTTTTGTAACCTTTCTGTGATTGTTTCCTCATTTGTCAATGAGGTAATAAGGCTGGATACCTCCCCTAGGTGTTGGAAGGGTTGAATGAGTTGACAGCCGTAAAGGACGGAGAACAGAGCTGGCACACAGTGAGCACGCTGAGTGCTGGCCAGTCCTTCTGATGCCATTGCTGCTACTACTACTAATCAGTGAAAGCTGGATGGTGGTAATCTCAAAGACGTTATTTTGGGGAGAAGCATGAAAATGACTTAAATGTTTCTGGGGTTTACATAATATTTAATTCAATGATGTGATTACAACACTAACTATAAGTGGCATAAAGAGATCTGGGAACAGATGGCACTTACTCTTCTTGCTAAGCCCACAACTCTCGTGGAGAAGTGGAAGTCCAGAGGCAACCTAAAGAGTGGACTACTAACACTCCGGGTACCAGGGTACTGTTGAGACATTTTATAGGGCTGATGGGAGAGGCGCAGTTATTCTGAATATTCAGTAGAAGTAGTTGGGAGAGGGGCAGTTATTCTGAATATTCAATAGAAGTAGTTAAGAAAGGCCAAGCGCAGCCATCTCCTTCCCTACCCAATGATCCCTGGTCACCTCCTGGAATCCACTGCTTCCTCCTCTGTGACTTAAGGAAATTAAGGGGCTGAGGGATAATATAAGGGATTAAGGAAAGGATGGGGAGTGAGACTGTGGGCATAGCAGGCGGGTCTGAGGCATTTTACCTAGAAACTGTTAGAAAAGAAAACAGTAAGAGACCAGCAAGAATGGGCTAATCATAGAAACTTATTTGTAAGAATGCCTGACTATGAAAGAGAAGGTGAACCTTTAACTTTAAGAGAGACCAAGGATTCTGGACAGAGATGGAGCAAGCACACAGGGATGTGGGACACATGGAGACTGAAGGGTTACCAAGAAGGCTGAAGCTCTCAAAGAAACGTCTCCAGCTGCTTTTTTAAAGCTCTAAGGCTTTTAAGAGCTGGACCCTGAACCAAATTCCAATGGTACCAGCCTCCCACAGTACCTCTTTAGCTGGATTTATCATACTTACCACGACAGTGGCAGCCTGGGCATGCCGCCTCACAGATCCATGGTGCTTCTTCCTGCTCCAGCCTGAGGATCACATATGGTTTGGTGCCTTCATAACCTGTTCCAAGGAAATGATCCAGGCCTTAGGCTGAGCTCCTTGGTCTTCAGGGCCATTCAGGCAGCATGAAAGGCTGAGCAACAGACAGTATACTTGGGAGGAGACTGTACACACCTTGTCCAGAACTCAAAAGGAATTAGTCATCCGAGATCACTGCAACTCAAGTCAAGCTCACTGAGGCAGCACATGTAAGGGTTAAGAAGGCAAAGTGTGCAGCTAGATTGCTGGAGTTCAAATCCTGCTCTGGCCTTGCTGCATACTGAATGGGTGACACTGGGCAGTTAATCCACCTCTCTGCCTCGGTCCCCAAATGTGTAAAACAGTGGTACCAATGGTACTTACCTCATAAGGCTCCTATGATGATTACATGAGTTAATATTTTGGAAGTATCTGGCACATAGGAAGTATTTGATACTTGAGAGGTTCTGGGCACTTCAGTTACCTTTAGCAACTAAAAAGGGAAAGGTGGTCATTCAAGCATCATCTAGATTGTGTGGCAGAGCTGATCTTACCCACTGAGACGAGGTTGCTGTAGGTCTCCAGCATCACGTCCCGGTACAGGGCCCTCTGAGCAGGATTCAGCCTGTGCCACTCCTCTTGAGTGAAGCCCACTACCACGTCCTTAAATGACACAGGTCTCTGCTGAAGATGAAATGGCACTGAGTCACGTGGGAACAATGAAGGCAGCAGTGATGGTTGTGATTTTTTTTATAATGTTGACAGGTCAGACCTTATTACGATCATTTATCTACGATGCCTTTTATATTCCTGGCTCTGGGCAACATATGGTGGGACTGGAAGCTATTGTCATTTACACTTTGGGTCAACACATATTGACTGAAGACTCACGGTGTGTCTGACCCAGTGCTGGTTGCTGGGGACACAGTCACGGATGGCTCCTGACCTCAAGGAGCTCACAGCCTGGGAGAGAAAGCAATATGTAAAGCCATCAGGGTGAAAGGGTAAGAGCTAGGATGGCAGGACATCTGGGCTACGGCACGCAGAGAGGTGAATCGTCCATTACATTTTTCAGGCTTCAGAGCCCAGGGTATGTGCAGCTGAGCCTTGTCTGCAGGAAGATGGAGAAACTGCCTTCCCTGCAGAGGGAGCAGCATGAACCAAGGCCTGGGGCCAAATAGTGATCTTAAGGACGGCCAATCACTCAGCTACAGGGGAGCATACAGAGGCTGGTGAGACGATGTACTTAAGACAATAAGACATCAATAAAGGGAGAAGTATGTGTAGAAAGCCCATTCTAGAAGGCATGTGGTGAGTTTCTTGCATTCTGTGTCAAGCGGTACAATGGTAACTGTAAGCAGACTGTACACCGTATCCCTAGAGTAACCACTGTAATAGCGAAGAGGTGTCCTGAAGTAAATAAACGGAATTCTAAAAAATGTCCAATTAATCCACACAAACACACACACACACATAAGAGAAAAGAAACAGTGAAACAAAAGTAGATGGGAGACATACAGAGCTAAATACAAAAAAGATAGATATAAATCCAACCATAGGTTACATCATTATATTTATATTAAATATAATTAATTATATTTATAGTAAACTATTATACAGTTTATCTATATTTATATAATTTATATTTATATAATTTAATTATATTTATATTAAACTATATTAAATTATAAGGTTATTTAACACATGACTAACACTCCACTTTATAAGCCTAAACTGTAAAGCAAATCAGCCTCTTTTTTTTTAATTATAGTTTTTTTGGGGGAGGAGGGAAGGGAGAAGTAATTAGGTTTATTTATTTATATATTTTATTGGAGGTACTGGGATTAAACCCAGGACCTTGTGAATGCTAGGCATGCACTCTATCACTGAGCTATACCCTCCCTCCCCCAACGAACACTCCAAAAGGGCAGAGATTAGGTAAAGTCTAATTACACTGGATTTTAAAAAAAGCAATGCTGCCTGCAAGAGATACAAAACTCACAGAGTCTGAAAGTGAATGGATGGGAAGAGAAATGTGACAGGTGACCTGGAGGGAAAGGAAAGGAAAGACTCACTCATATCCCAGGTGGAAAGTGAGGTTCACAAGTGGGATGTTAACAGTAAGACAGAGAAAAACCACTGTAAAGAAGAGCAGAACCTGTACCTTAACTGGTTGTGGGGTGAAGAGAGCATAAGGGTAACACCCTTAAGGCAACTGGGTGACCGTGCTGATGAAGTGGAGTCAAGAAAAACAGCAGAAGCAAAGAGGGCGTCGTACTCAAGCTGTGTGAGCCATCAGCCCAGAAGTGGTAGCTAAAGTTGTCACACGGTGCGGGATCCGCCTGCGAGGAGACAAGAGGAGCCAAGTGCTCAGGCCAGAGCCACGAGGGACACTCATATGTAAGAGGCCAACAGCAGAAGAGTTCAGCGGGAGACCCAGAGGCGCAATTGTGGAAAGGAGGCTTCCCAGCCCAGCAATCCTCTGGTTTGGGGCACAGAGAACAAATTCTCCAAAGAGCCCAGTGCCCTGGGACCCTGCTGCTGAGGGAGACCCACCGCTACTAACCTAAGAAGGCACCTGGGATATTGTGATGTATGAAGAAATGCATCTGTGCCCTGATTCCTGGCACAGAGCTCCTTAAACCCCCGAAACTTCCGGAGTGCTAGGAGCAATAGGAGTGTCTTTTGTTACTTGTAACAAGTACCTGTCAACCGTACAGAGTTTATGCTAATGACATAACTCTTGGAAGATGGGGGCTGGTTGCCAGAGGAACCAGTTATGTGATTAGAGAATCAGAACCTGTAGCCACAGATCCCCCCGTCTCTGGCGAGGGGAGAGGGATTTGAGATTGCGCTAATCACCAAAGGCCAATAATTTAACCAACTAGGCCTACATGATGGAACCTCCATAAAATCCCTGGAGAGCTTCCAGGTTGATGAACACATCCAGGGCTGGAGAGGGGCACCTCAAACTCCACGGGGACGTAAGCTCCTGTGCTCAGGACCCTACTTTGCCCCAAGTACCTCTTCATCTGGCTGTTCATTTTGGGGGGGATGTGGGAGGGGTAGGTAATTAGGTTTATTTACTTATTTAAATGGAAGCACTGGGGATTGAACCCAGGACCTCGTGCTTGCTAGGCATGGACTCCACCTCTGATCTACACCCTCCCCCCTTGGTTGTTCATTTGTATCCTTTATAATAAACCTGTGATGGTAAATAAAGTGATTCCCTGAGTTCTGTGAGTTACAGCAAGTTAAGACTGAAGAGGGAGTCATGGGAACCACCGATTTATAGCTGGTTGACCAGAAGTTCAGGTGACAATCTGAGACTTGTGACTGGCATCTGAAGTGGTGGGCAGTCTTGGGAGACTGAGTCCCTAACTTGTCTGCACAGAATTGGGAGAATTGTTGGAATGGCGGAAAAAAACTTCCTCTATTCCTGTAAGTAGAAGAAACAGTTTTGCAACTGTAGAGAATTTAATCTTGCCCAAGGAGAGGTCTGATCTTTGCCCTCAGCTCTTGGGAGTTAATCTCTAAGCGCCTGGAATGTCCTCCAGGGTAAGAGTGTCTTCTTTTTTTCACCGGGGGTCCTTGGGCTGCACCAGGAAGTCTAGCAATGTGATTTATGGGTCACAGGCATCAGGTCAACCTCCAGAGCGGCTGGAGACTGAGGTCAGCAGTCAACCATGCCTAGTGACCAATCCCCCAAAAAAACTCTGGACGCCATGATTTAGGTGGGCTTCCCTGATTGGCAATACTCTACATGGTCACACGTGGTGGCTGGGAAAATTCAGCACTGTCCACAACTCTGCTGGGAGAGGACAGATGGACATGCTGTGTGAGGGGCTCTCCTGGACTCTGCTCCAAGTATCTTTTTTCTTGGCTGATTTTAATCTGTGTACTTTTGCTGTAATAAACCCTGACTGTGAGTGTAACATTCTGTGAGTCCTTCTAGAGAATTATCAAACCTGAGGGTGGTCTTGGGACCCTCCAAACTTACCACTGCTGTCAGAAGGGAGGGTGGCTCTGTGGGCTGCTTGCTAACTTCACACTGGCTGACAGACACGAGGGGCAAAGGAGCAGATCAGCAAAAAGGATGGACTTCAGGGCAGGACTGCTTGAGTTCAACTACAGGCTCCGCCACTAAATGAGTGACCCTGGGGAAGCTATTTAACCTCTCTGTGCCTCAGTATTCTCATCTGTTAAATGGAGATAATAATAGTGTATGTCTCTTAGTTATGTGGTTTACATGCATTAACATGTGTAAACTATGCCTGGCATATAACAGCACTATATAAAGGTAACTATTTTATTTAAGGAGAAAAAGACTGTAAATCAATACTTTAAAATCTATTAAGAAAGGGAAAACAATTTAAAGGACAAAAAAAAGAGGGGGTGGCCAGGGTCTGTGACTGGGTGTCGGTGGGGTGGCGAGCCCTAGGGCACTGCACAGTGCCAGTGACACCGGCCCTTCCCCTCCGGGATTGGCCAGAGGAAGGAAGCGCTGACAGGGCCCCGCAGAGGCTGAAGGGGCTGAGAGCAGCCACTCTCCACTCTCAAGAGGCTCAGGTCTCCTTGAAGAATGTCAGGTCTCACAGCGGTACCTGAGCAGTGGCCCAGGCAGGTGGACCCGAAGGCAGGACCAGAACCGGGGTGGAGGCCATGTAGGCTGGCCCAGGAGACCCTAAGACCCACACAAAGGCCATGGCACAGAGAAGGTGCCAACCAGACAGCCTCTTTGATGCCAGAACGTACCACAGGAGCAGGTGAGCAGCAGTCAGGCTTCGCCACAGAGCACAGGGCCTGGCTCAGTGATAGGCTCTGGGTCAGCATTTCCCCAACAGAGCTAACTGGGATGGGGCGGGTGGGGTAGGGTGGGACAGAATGGAAGGGAATAGCCCAGAACAGAGCAAAACAGAAAAGATATAATTCTGCACCCTAGAGGCCATGCCATTTTCACCAAACACAGGGAAGAAGAGGAGAGAGACGGAAGAAACACTAAGGCCGTAAAATTAGCAAAACTTGGTGACTGAGTGTGACAAGCGGAAGGCAGGGAGAAATCAAGGACAAACCTCAGGGTCCTGGCTTGCCTGGTGGGATGGTCCCATCTCCTGAGATGGGAAACAGGGAAGAAGGGACAGAAACCAGGAGTTCAACTTTGTACACATTAAACGTGAAGTGCTACGAGGCAGCCAGGGATGATGCCGATCACGTCGTGGGCAAAGGGCGCGGCAGCTCTGGGAGGAGGCCTGGGCTTGGGTGCAGAGGCGGGCGTCACCTGTACACTCACCAGTATCCACCTGAGAGTGGATGAAACCAGCCCCAGAGGCCCCACAGAAACATCAGCACCTAAGAGGTAAGAAGACGGAAAGAGAAACCACAGAAGATGTTGAGAAGCTGTAGGGAAGCACTGTCCCCGGCATGAAGGAGGGAGGACTAACCTCAGGGAGTGTCATAACAAAGTCTATTCCAAGCACTTTACCTACATTATTTAATGCTACGTCCATACTACAAAGGAGAAAACAGGCAGAGAGGTTCAAGGACTTGCCAAAAACTGGGATTCAGATTCAGCAGTCTGGTCTGAGCGCTCTCACCCAGAACATGGGGCTGCCTTTCAGACAGAAGAAGGAGACAAAAAGTACAGCTGAATTCAGCACAACCATCAAAAAGCATCCCTGACTTCAGACTCAGCAAAGTCACCTGGGACCTCGGCCAGAAAAGTTTTATTTAAGTGGGAAGAGAGGATTCTGCACTCAAGAAAAAATGAGAAACAGGAGGTAGAAACATCAAGAGCGAGGAAATCACTTCAGGAGATGAAGGAGACCAGAAGAGAAAGGAAAGGACGTTTTGGTTTACAAATGGTAATGGTTTCTAGGGTTGGAGACACTGACAGTGGTTGTAGGGACGAGAGAAAAGAACTCAGAGAGGGGAGAGATGGGTCTCCGGAATGAGACGTAGGAAAGCAGGGGCTCTGGGGCTGCGGGGATTCCGCCCAGGGCACAGGGTCCTTCACCATCCAAAATCAGTGAGGAAGGTACAGGGGCCGGGAAGACCTCACACCGAGTCATGCTAGGGAATAAGATGTTCAACTGTTTGCTGCCAAACTAGCAGAGACACCTAAAGGGAAAGACAGAAACATAAACAATGGGCAGTTCATCTGTTCCCCAATCTTGATACCTTAGATCAAAATCAGGACTTCTGTAAACTTGGAGGAATCTTCCTGCCCCCTCACAGAAGAAGTAATATTTATATTTTCACTTTCTTTTAACTGGAATTTAGCATTTTCTGCCGTTACCCATGGGCCACAAAGCACAGAGGAGTTAAAACTTCCCGCAACTTTGACATTGATAGAAAACAGTCACGTCACTGGGAAGCTGAGACCGTGGTGGTTTTGGTCACCTGGGGAACTGAGAGCTTTGCCTTGGGGCTAACACTCAACTCCGAGGGATGAGTTGAAGCCCTGCAGAAAACAGGCTTCTGTATTGTTAGTGATCGTTAAGAATTTTGTCCACTCTTTCAGTGCTGCTCACACTTTCATGTGCATAAGGATGTCCAGAGCTTGTTAGGCAAAGATTCTCAGGCCCCACCCACAGTTAACTGGTCCAGCAGGTGTGGCTGGGATTTGCCATTCGGTATGTCTAACAAGCTTCCAGGAGATGCCCTCGTCCTGGGACCACGCTGTCAGCAACAGTACTGCCCGACCTCAGCCATAAGAAGGCCCCTCAGGGAAATGTCTTTAGAAAAAAGTGCCTTAAAAAGCTAAGTTTTCTCTTGGAAATAACAATATGTTTCTTCCTTATGGCCAGCACAAACCATGGGCTGTCTCTGCCTTTTTGCTGGGCTACCAGGAAGCGCACAGTTAGTGACTCTTGCTGGAATCTCTCCCTTGTACATCACACGTTACAACAAAGAATGTGCCTTGCATCATTGCTTGTAATATCAAATTTGGAAACTACCAGAATGTCCATAAAACGGAGGGGGGAGTATATTGTATGTTCCATGCATATTATGGAGCATTATGTATGTTGTTTAAAAAAAACATACCAATATGGTACCATCTCTTGGACATTTTAATCAGGGGGGAAAAGGGTAGAGTAGTATGTATAATAAGTGTCTGGCCACTGTATCTCTGTGTAGCGAGAGGCTGTGGCGTTCCCAAATCCCCCTGGAGTACCAAGGTACTTCTCCCAGCTGCTAGGAGACGGCTGGCTGTTGCAGGCTTGAGGCCTTTTGAGAATTTCCCCTGGTCAAAGGGAGCCACTCCACCCATGGTTACACGCCCTCCCTGGGGCAGCCTACAGCCAAGGACTGATGGATTTCAGAATGCAGTGGCCTCTGTGCCTCCGTTCAGGACAACACGGAGGACCATCCCAACTCCAGAGCATCTTGTAAGATCAGCTGATGCTTCTGTTCAACAACTCCCTCTGTCCACTCTGCTTCCTTCACTGACTTACAGGTGTTCCAAGAGCCTCCCTAGTAAACCTCCTGCTTGCAGATCTCCACCCCCAAGTCCGCTTTCCTGAGAACCCAGCACATGACAGAGCATATGTGGTTGAAGTGCATGTATTTTTTCTAGAACAGTTTCCCCAAGAAGGGAAAGTAGGCTTGTTAATGTCATACTTACCTGGTACTCAATCATTTTCTGTTGTTCTTGGAAAAAGATCTGTGGCCTGTGAAGATAGATTGGAGGGAGGAGGATGGAGAAGGAGAGAAGAGAGCTGTGAGAGACCAGGCTTGTTTTAGGACTTGCAAATTCCCTACGTAACTCCTGCACAAAAACCCATGCTTTAAGTCATTGTGGTAGAAGGAAAACATGGTGCCATTCAACCCAGAATGTGGATGCACAGAACAGACTTCCTGGGAAGCAAAAGCCACTACCATGTGAGAACTGGAAATTATTAAAAGCCAAAAATCCTTCAAACTTATGCCACTGGTCCCAAGTATAAACCAGAAAAGGGGCTTCCATATCTGTTATGATAATATCACAAAGAACGCAAAGCAGAGCAAAGTAACTGTCTAACTTCAACAAAACTAATGGTTACTTAAACTGTGGTACAAATAATTACTGGAAGTCTAAACCTTGTTATTCACCCAGCAGATTATTATTTTTTTTGCCTCTTCAATAAATGGTTTTATTTTTAATTTTTTTTACATTTTTCTATTGAGTTATAGTCATTTTACAATGTTGTGTCAAATTCCAGTGTAGAGCACAATTTTTCAGTTATACATGAACATACATATATTCATTGTCACATTGTTTTTTTTGCTGTGAGCTACCACAAGATCTTGTATATATTTCCCTGTGCTATACAGTATAATCTTGTTTATCTATTCTACATATGCCTGTCAGTATCTACAAATTTTGAAATCCCATTCTGTCCCTTCACCCAGCAGATTATTCAGTGTTGTCATTAAAAAATAATGTTCAACCGCTGACAACAAACAACTCAAGATGTTTAATTAAAGAAATAACTGTAATGGCTTAAATTATTTTTAAAAGGGCAAATCATAGGTTAAGAGTATAAATAAATACTTTGATGTACTTGAACATTTAATGTTAGAACTATATTAAAATTACCAGTGGAATAACTCTTGGTTTTTAAAAATTATATCTTTCGTGGCGATTCTCACTGAAGTAACCGGGCACAGTGTCATCCTGACCAGAAAAGCCTGCCAGCACCCAGATTCTGATCGCTACCACTCATTCTCACCAGAAAGAACTAGAGCTCCTTGGAAAATGTCTGAGTCCATCATCTGGAACAAAGAATACAAGGTGCACCTTTACAATCTTGAGTGTCAGAAAGCAAGGACCCTTCCTCAGTGGATAGGTCCAGGCAAGGGGGTGAGTAGAGGCCAGCCTCAAGGGGCTCCAACCTTGCAAGCAGTAGCGCTGGAGAAAACTGGCCATATCTACCCAAGTTAAACATATGAATATGGCCTCGTAGTTCCGTATGAATGCATATGTTCACAAAGCTTTAGTCTATAAAAACTATAAATATGTAGTGATAATCAAAAATCACAATATTAAAATTTTCCTTTTAAAATAACTGGCACTATAATTAGATAAGACTACTATAACTTGGAGGTTCCCTATTTCCAAAAAATACACATATTGGGAAATACGGAACTAAATTCATATAAAACATTAATAAAGAACATTCAAGCTTTTCACTCACAGTAGTGAGAAACCTTATAAATAGGTCTGAATATACTGTGCTAGTAAGCTACAGCCTGGCATTGAAAATCCACATCCAGGAGCAACAAGAGGTCTGACTTGTGGCTGGTGGGACTGCAATTTGGTTCAATCATTTTGGAGAACTGTTTGGCCATATCTGCCAAAGCTGAATGTAGAATCCCCGTGACCCAGCAGTCCCACCCCTGGGTATATACTAGAGAAATAAATGCATAGTGTTCAATGAAGACTTGAATAAGAATGTTCATGGCAGCTTTGATCATAGTAAGTCAAAACCAGAAACTGCCCAGGAGAACGAGATAATTGTGGTGTGTCCATATAATGGAATACTATTCAGCAATAAAAAGGAATGAACTGCTGACATCCATGCAATCCATGTGGATCTCACAGATATTATGTCCAATGAAAGAAGTCAAACTTAGGAAGAATATACTGGATAATTCCATTTCTAGGGAGTTCCAGAACAGGTAAAATTATGGTGAGAGAGTCAGAATGTGGGAAGGGGATGGATATTACTGAGATGGGGTAGGAAGGAGCCTTCTAGCATAGGGGGTCAGCCAACTTTTTATTTGAAAGACCAGACAGTAAATATTTTTGGCTTTGTGGGTCCTATGGAGTTTGCCACAACTATTCAATTCTGCTGTTCTAGCATGAAAGCAGCCACTGATATTGATACAGAAGTGAATGAGTACAGCTGTGTTCCAATAAAACTTTAATTACAAACAGAGATGGCAGGCCAGATTTGGCTCATGGGCAATCGTATGCCAACCCCAGCTCTAAGGTGGTGGAAACGTTGCTCTAAGTGATAGTTACATGAATGTGTGTATGTATTTAAAAATCCATCAAGTTGTATATTTACTATTTGTATGTTTTGCTCTATGTCTTTTATACCTCAGTAAAAGAGACAAGGAAAAGAAAGGCAAAAAGCAAATGGCAAGACGTAGACAAAATAACTCCTACATCCACCAGAACTGACTCACACCTTTGAGGGCAGGAAAACCATCCCACCACTGCGCGGGCGACAAGAGCTTCTTTCCTGACTGGCATTCTTGAGCTGTGGCCCTGATGACTGACAACTCAAACAGTGACAGCCTCACAGCTGATTCCCACCAGATCCAGGCTTTGCCCACTGAGAAATAGTCTAGGAGGACAACTTTCAAAACGGAGCAACTCATATCTCTCCTCTGCAAAAAGAGGAGATTGTAATCTTCCCATGGGACAGAGAAGAGCTTTTCTTGAATACAGTGACATTCATAATGTTTGACTATCCTGGTGTCCTCTCCTGTAAAAACAGGTCTAGCCAATTACTCTCCTAAGGTTTCTTTACATAATGATGATTAATCCCTCCAACCTTAGTGACTGCCGAAGTCTTACAGCTGATCACAGATCAAAGAAAATTAACTAGAAGAGATTGAGAAAAACTGGCCACAACTGGAATAACAGACTTTCATTATATACTTTCATGTGTCACGTAAGCGTGGGAACTTCAAAATGACTTATTCTAACTGTCACATAAATATAAAAGGACGTCAGTGTCCCTAAATACTAAAAGCCTGCTACTTAGAGTCTTTGCTCTGACAAGAGATTTGGACCCTGGTGACTCCTTCAGAAGAAGATCCCCTCTCTGGGACCTCAGGGTCTTTTACCTGGCCCGTTAGGCCCTCAAGCTCCATCTCTCAAAGGTTACTCACCCTCAGCTGCAGCCACTGACAGAGGCTTCTGCAGATGTGACTGAGGTCCTGTGGCCCCAAGGAGAGCCCTGCTGTCCAACAAGGTGCTGGGACCCAAAGGTGTACACTCAGGAGACCTGAAGATAAGCAGACCCAATGGTGAGAAGTCATCCAGCAGCCCCCAATACTCTGGGGCCAGGGAGGAAGAAGCCTGCAAGAGGGCTGAGCCGCAGACATATCTGAGTGACGGCTGTGCTCCGGGTTTGGGGCAGGGGCAACTTCTGGTAAGACCCTGAGCCTACAAGTCACTCGGACAGATGTCTGAAAGCCAAGCGATTCCTTTAACTGACTGAAGGAGTCTAGGCCAGACAGTTTACCTCCCTGGGCCTCATTTTCCTCACCTGTGAAAACAGGAATGATAAACAATAATTTTAAAAAGCCCATCCTGGTGGGGAGGGCATAGCTCAGCAGTAGAGTGCATGCTTGGCATGCAGGAGGCCCTAGGTTCAATCCCCAGTACCTCCATTAAAAATAATAAATAAACCTAATTACCTCCTCCCCGCCCCCACAAAAAAGGTAGAAATTTAAAAAAAAAAAAAGCCCTTCCTTAGAGGCTTTCCAAAAGTTACCTCATTTAACACAAACTCAGGAGTGGTTGAAAGGGGCTGAGTTATGAATAACAAAAGACACCTTTATCCCTCTTATCACTTAGGAAATTCCAAGGGTTTTAGGAGCTCTGTGCCAAAAATAGGACTGAAGACCACATACATATTTCTTATCATAAATCACAGTATCACACAGACTAAAATAAAAAGGACAAGAAACAGTAATTGGGTGCATTATGGTGAAACCATGGAGAATTTTTTTTCAATTTTCCTCAACAACAAGGTAAAATTATTGTAGTGAGTTTTCTTTTGTCATTAAAAAGCAGATGATTCTGGTGGATAATCTGGATAATTCCACCAGATAATCTGATGGAAGATGAAGCCAGTCATCTTTCCTGCTAGTCAATCTTGATAAGCGGTACCACCATGCAGTCAGTCCCCCAGCAGCAGCATGGCAGTCCTCTGAAGGGATACCATCTCCTTCCCTGCATGATAGTAACTCATACATCCTCATCACCATACGCTGACATTTGAACTCAAAAGCCGTATGTTACTATATAGATACCATCATCTGGATGCTCTCAGGCACAAAGCACAGGGTCCAGTTCAATGTGCATTTGTTTTTTTTTGTTTTTTTTTTAACTTAAGTATAGTCAGTCACAATGTGTCAATTTCTGGTGTACAGCACAATGTTCAATGTGCATGTTTTTGACTTCCAGAAGGAATATCCAAAAACAAACAAACAAACAAAAAAGGCAATCTCAAATGGCCAAGCCAGAGCTACAGATTAGAATTTTGTCCTGGTGTGTGTCTGGTTTCAGAATTTCAGACAAAACTTTCCCATTGTATGAATGTTTTGGCTTCAGATTATTTCTATGATTCCATTTAATTCGAGTTCAAAAACAGGCAAAACTAATCCATTGTATTAGAACTGGGATGGCAGTGGGTTTTGACTGGTAAGGCTTCAGGGTGCTAGAGGTATCTTAATCTAGGTTGTGTACACAGTTCTCTTCAATGTAAAAATTCATTGAGCTATGCCGTTAACATAAGCATACTTAACCGTATGTGTGTTATGCCTGGAAATGATCTGGAAAAATGTTTATTGCATAAGTAAATGAAATAATCTGGATTCAAACTTAAACATTTTTTCAAATGAGGCCACATACTGCCCCTTGACCAGGTATGAATATTCCATTTAATTCAAATTCAAAAACAGACAACATTAATCAGTGATGTTAGAATTGGGAGACTGGTCCCATGGCAAGCTAGTGGCTGGGAGCGGGTATCATGGGGCTTTCTGGATGTTACAATCTTCTGTTTTCTGATCTAAGCACATTACCCTGGGGTGTTCCCTTTGTGACAATTCACTGAGTTGTATGTATATTTATGCATACTTTTGTATGCATCTTATACTTCAATAAAAGGTTTATGTTAAAAGCTTTAAAAAGAAATATTACTTGCTCCCAAACCTGGCACTAAGCATAGTGTAGGTGATGAAGGAAACTATAAGAAAAAGAAAATGCCTGACTCCTTACCCATGCGTGTGGGTCCTGCATCGAAGAAATTACCTGTCTTTGATTCTGTGCAGTGGAAAAATAGGAAATGTCTGCTCTAAAATTGAAAGCCTGACATGTATGTTTTCTGAAAGATGTTACCTGCCTCACCTCTCCACTTCCTTTGTTTCTTCAGATGCTATTCTCACTGCGCTTTGTCTGAAGATTGCCTAAGGATTGAATGTAATACTTAAAACAATCAGGGGTGGAGGGGTGGGAGGGTGCAGCTCAGTGGTGGAGCACCTGCCTAACATGCACGAGGTCCTGGTTCAATCCCCAGTACCTCCATTAAAAATAATAAATAAACCTAATTAAATCCCCCCAAAGGGAAAAAAAAAACAAAAGACTGTTTCAGCTTTTCACCCTTTTATTAAGCTAATGATCAAATCTTATTTTCCTTTCATTTGTGATTTCGTCCTGGTCCATCTTAATCACCAGTACTTTGACTTTAATTTCAGTGAAGAGCAGTTGCTAAAAGTAGCTTTTTGGTTTTGTCATTGTTATTGTGGTATTAGGTTTATTGAATGGTTCTACCAGGATTTTATAAGGCACAGGTTCGCGAAGTCAAACATGCCATGCCTAAAAAATACAGAACAAAGTAAAAAGATTCTTAGAACACGATAACTTCCAGAACCAGTTTCTTTTCCTTCTGTGATTCATCTTTTTTTTCCCTAGCCTTACTGAGATATAATTGTGTAAGTTTAAGGTGTTCAATCCCCTGATTTGATACATGTACATATTGCAAAATGATTACCACATTAGGGTTAGTTAACATCTCCATCACTTCATGTAATTATCTTGTGTGTGGGGGGGGGGAGAACATTATTTTTAAGGATTTTCAAACACTCTCAAGGTTTACCCCTTCAGCAAAATCTTTTACAGTATCAGTTCAGATACTTACTCAGTAAGCTCTTTGTTTCCTGACCACAGGCCAAGGAACATCCATCCTAGCTGCCATGAGGTCAGAACAGATTTCCAGAAACCAGGCTCACACTTGGGATGCTGTTACAGATGGATACGTCATTACATTTTCCAGAAAGAGCCTTAAAGGAAGCATTAGGAGAAATATGCATTAAATCCTTGGCAAAAGCAAGAGAAGCCACATCTTTAATAACATTTTATTTTACAGAAGTTTAACGCTTAATCCTTTCAAAGCACTTTCATTAATGTGAGGAACAATACAAAAAGGGGGAGGGAGGTTTCCAAAAGAGTTCTGAGGTAGGCTTTGGCCCTGAGGAACAGGAGGGAACTGGCTGCTCATCAGATGGGGTATGTCCTATGGGTGAAGTGTGTTCCCACTGTGCAGGATTGCAGCCTCAAATCCTTAACTCTCCCACTGCCTTCCTCTGCACTTTACAAGCCTCAGCACCAACTCCGTTTAAGCCTCCTAATCGTAGATACACCTGGTGTCTCCAATCTACAGCTCCCGGGCGTCCTTATAGCTATGATATCCCCATATGTCCAAATATGACCATCAAAGACCACTAGTCAGTGACTACAAAGGTCACTGATTCGTTCTGATTGCAGAATAGTGAATAACACAGATCCCAGATGGGGAACCCACACTGATCTCCAATGATATCCCAATGACTGGAGATCAATCAGTGATTCCCATTGTCCCACCTCCCCTGAAAATTATGACAGTCTCAGTCACTGATACCACCCTCCTTGATCCGTCTGTTCCACATTCCCTATCTACAAAAGTCCAGTCACTGATAACCTCAGATCCCCCATCGATGAGCCAAAGGAAGTCTCAATCACTATTAGCCTAAAAGCATTTCTCCAAACATTGATCCTCATTGACCACCCTCATCACTGAACCTCAGAGTTTCCACAATCACCAGTTCTAGGTACCCAAACGTAATTTAGAACTTCCGATCACTGACTCCCTCAGTATTCTGATCACCGAGCCGCAACGCCATTCAAATCAGTGTCTTCGAAGAAACCCACCTGGCCTCAGACCCCGTAAGACCATTAAAAACTGACCCCCACGCACTCTTGTCAATCAAGAACTCTCATTTATTGATTCCTGCATAACTCCCAACCCATTTTCTTCAGACACTGCCACTGACTCCCACAAATCCGCCACCACAGACTCCCCCACGGGGCTCAGACGCCCATTCACTTAACCGTCCAGTCCCCTCAGTCTCTGACCCTTACAGGCAACCATGACTGACCCAGTCGGGCCACCATAGTCGTCTGCTCACTATTACCCGGGTCCCGATTTTTGACTGTTTCTCACAGGGACCTTTCTCATTTTCCCTGCACAAGCGCCCATTACCTGAAATGGGCTGTCGTACCCCGCCGCCTCACCACAGTACAAGCTCTTCTCTCTTCCCATCCCGAGTGACCGTGCGCAGACTCAGTCGCGACTTGGAGGCTGGCTGCCGCCCCCTGGCAACCTCCCAGAGAACGGGATTCTGGGTTCCGGAACGTTAATGGCAGGTACGATGGCCGCGCCCGCTTGTCAGCCACTTGCTGGGGGCGGCCATGATTACGCCTGTGCCGTGCAGCCGATGATTCGGCCCTTTGTTAGGCGATTGGGCCATTTTAGAACGGGGAGAAGCAAGTGTTCCTGAGTCCCTAAACACAGACGTCACTGCTGCTTTTCGCATCTCAGAAGCCCATACCTCCTGTGACCAGCAGAGCGGCTCCCTGACCCGGCAGCTGAGCTTTCTGTGTCTCCAGCAGCGCAAGCAGTGAGGTAAGATGGCCGCGTACGTTCGTACCGCTTCTTACGGGCAACCAGCGCGGCCATCTCCCCCGAGGAACTCCCCTCCCGTAAAGCAAGGTAAAACTTTTTCCTGGTGTGGGAGAACGGCGAAGAAGAAAAGCTCTTCTCTCGGGGAGCCTGAGGCCCGGGAGGAAGAGGCAGGACTTCACCCAGTGGGCGGAGCTGCAAGAGTGGGCCAGTAGGAGGATCTTGAAAAGAGTATGTTGAAAGTGGGAACTTTGTCTCAGGTGGCTTGACCCTGTTGACTTTACAAATAAAACAGCCAACTTATGGGACCAAAAAATGAATTTATTCCTAAATAGCAGAGACTCACAATTCGGGACAAGAAGTCACAGCAAAAACCATGGACAAGTCCAACAAACAAAGAGGAACTGTTATTTTACAGAGAAAAAGGAGGTAGTTGGGAGGGGTTGTTTTGAAGCAAAGTATGTTGCAGAAAAGTGAAAGATCAGAGTGAAGACGGCTTCTCATTGGCTGAGTTGCTGGGGTAGTGGATTTCCTGTGGGAGATGCAATGTACATCTCTTCTTGTTGGGGTCTGTGATTGATGATTTTTTCCTGTTGATTCTTCTGTCGGGGTCTCTAATTGACAGTTTTTCCTGAAACGGACCTGGAGTGGTACTGCCTGAGATCTCCCTTTTCTGGCCTCCCTACTCCATTTGAGTGAGATTTTCCTTTATTACTTTTCATGCTCCAGAAGCCCACCTGAAATAAGGGTGTGAGTGCAAGCAGTTTATTTGGGAGGTAGGGGATGGGTCAGTGAGACGGGAGGGATGGAAACCAACACAGAGTGCATCCATAAGCAGATTACCCCTGTGAGTAATGGGGGTTCAGTCCTGTGGGGAACTCTGATAGACTGTGTGAAAACCACCTCCAAGTTTTCCCAGTCAAGGGCTGATGAAGCTGAGATATTTATGTTATCTCTGGTTCCTCACTGTTGTGGGCTACTGCAGGGGCCTTAAAGCTCTAGCACTTTCAGCCTGCCTCATGGGCAGGTCTCAGGCAGAGGCTGCAGGCGCTCAGAAAGAAGCCAGCCATCAGCATATGGGCATGGTGAGTGCCTAGGCAAAGTGGGGTACCAACAGCATTCACCACAGTCCTGTTTTTAATAACCATCCACGCAGTGCTCTGCACATCACAGGCATCATTTTGGAACACCTCTAGAAATGATTGCCTTTTCCTATGAAAATAGCTCTCTAAAACAATTCTATTTGGTGATCATACCAACTGGTAAACAGCTCACCTCCAAAATGACTCCCAACGATTCCTGACGCCTGGCATTCACACCCTTGTGTCATCTCCTTCCACATTGCAGGTCTGAGGTTAATAGTTTACAGTAGAAGTGATGGCCTGACGCTACTGAGATTAAGTTGTAAATGACACCTGAGCTTCTATTTTGGAGGTGTTCAAGCCCTTTCTCTCAACTTAACTTTGGGAGAAGTTGGTTGCCATATCATTGAGGACAGAGACCACCTATGAAGAGGCCCAGGTAGCAAAGAACTCCTGCCAACAGCCAGGGAGGAACTGATGCCTTATTATATCCAAGTGCCTTCTGATATCCATCTTGGAAGCAGGTCCTGCACCCTAGTTAAACCTTGGAATGCCTGCAGCCTCCACCAATGGACTGACTGCTACCACATGAGGGACTAAGTCAGAACCACCCAGCTGGCAGCTCCCAGATTCTCGACCTTCAGAAACTGTGTGAGCTGTTAAATGTTTGTTTTAAGCCACTGGGTTTGGGAGTAATTTGCTATGCAGCAATAGGTAACTTGGATGCTGGGGTAAAAATGCTGTAATTGATGTCTCTGGATTCCTTAAACAAGTTCCTAAACTTGTGAGATTGTTCTGTCAAGTCAGAGGGGATTATTGGCAATTTCCTCTTATCTTGCATAATGGAGAAATTAAAGGCCTGTGGCTCTGTTAGATTTTTAAAATTTAATAGAGTTTAACAGTCTTGCCTGATTTGAATTAATACAAGTGGTTTATATGACAGTATTTTGAAGTGATTATAGTAATTAATAAAAATGACTATTTGGAAAGTGCCTGTTACATGTCTGGCCTGTTGCTGGCTTGCTCACTTCAAGGACTACTCACTCTCGCACCAGTCAGCTAGGCAAAAGGAAAGAGAGCCTTAGAGTGTCTTATGCTGGGAATTAAATACACTGCCTCAGAAATGACACATGTCATTTGCTCCCACTACTCATTGAACAGTCAGCCAACCACGATATAAATACAGTCTTACCATAAGGTTGAGATGGGGAGAGCTAGAAATATTTAAGGAACAACCTTAAAGACAAACACAATGAAAACAGTGTTATCATCACGATTTCACAGAACGTGCACACAGAGTTAAGATGTCCAATCCATAATCACTCAGCTAGTAAGCAAAGAAGGAAGCAGAGCCAGGTATGTCTGTTTTATATAGAGGTAAAGGTTCATTACCATTATTATTAAATTTTTACTTCAGTGTATCTAAGGCACTGAAGTAGGGAACAAAGAGAAGACTGAGGTCTCCAGTAAAAATAAAGGGACTCAAGATGCTGAGGTCTTGGGTGGGGGGCGGGGGAGGAGGAGTACAGGTGGAGAGAGAAAACAGATAAAAGAAGAGTTTTTACAAAAGAGTACATACACACTGTATGTGAAGCTCAGGAACAGGCAAAACAAATCTATTGAGTTATAAATCAGAAAGCAATTGACTCTAGCAGTTGTTGGCTCTGAAGAGAATTTCTTGGAGTGATGAAAATGTTCTATATATTGTTTTGGGTGGTGGTTTTGTGCATCTATATAATTGTCAAGACTCATCAAAGTTAACTTATGATTTGTGCATTTATTTTATGTACATTAAAACTTAATTTTTTGAAGAAAAAGAGTGTCAAGATTATTGAGTGATCATGTAGGCTAGGGAAAACGGAGACATGTGAAAGAAGTCACACAACTTTACCATCATCTGTGGAAAGATGGGACCCAGGCAAGGCCATCATAAACACTATGGCTTGTGACAGTGCCCGCTCTGGGCAGAGGGGTGAGAGAAAGGAGCCCCAGGGATTCATGGTTTAGCGAATTAAAGGCTCTGGGCTAACCCAGCCATAGTGACCATCAGCTCTTATTTACTCCCTGGGTTGGTAAGTCTCAGCCTATTGAACCAGTTGTGGTGGCCCTCCACACTGTCATCATTTAAAGGGATACTGGGCCCCAAATTTGGCCTAAAAGGAGGCACAACCGTTTCCTACTCTGGAGCAGAAAGGACTGTGCCCTGGCCTGAGTAGAAATAGGCCTTTGCCCTTGTATGAGTGAAGACTGTTCTGGATCTCAGTGGGATGAGACTGTCCCCCCGGATCAAGGTAGATCTAGAGAGTAGTCTGGCATGAGCAGAGGCCACACCCCATCCTGTCCTGTCTTGAACTAGGGGTGGAGGTGGTAATTGGTGACACAAGTCTTAAAGTATACTTTCCAAAAAGTTAAAAATTAGAACTCTTACAGATATTCAGAGGTTCATTTAACTTAATAATGAGGGAATTAGCAGGATTGGAATTTTGGTTAAGAGTAAACAGGTATATAGTCAGTGGAATAAAGAATCTTGAAATAAGATTGCAAAGTTAGATACAAAACTAATGTCCTACAGAGCAATAAAACCATGACCTGTAAGGTTATCTTTTCTCCACAGAATCAGTTTGTGTCTATAAAAAATATATGAAATGTACCAATTGTCTCCAAGTAAAATTTATCTATATAGTCTTCATCCTAATTAGTAGTAAAAAGCCAATCAAACAAGGCACATTTTACTAGAGCATTGGGTTCTCAAACTGGTGCAGTTTTAATCTCCAGGGGGCATTAGACGACCTGTGGAGACAGTTTGTGGGGAAGGGGGATGCTACTGACACGTGGTGGGTAGAGGCCAGGGATGCTTCCAACCATACAGAGGACAACCTGGCACAACAAAGAATTATCTGGCCCAAAATGTGAACAGTGCTGAGTTTAGGAAACCTTCCTCTAAAATGATTTGTTAGTCTTTGGGTGGGGTTTTTAGAGTATGCTCCAGTATGACTTTGAAAATGCACACAAGATAACACAGTATTGTTTCCTTCTTTCCCAGTTTTTGATCATTTTTCTTAACACAAAATTGACAAAGTGTTGATAATTATTGAATCTGAGTAATGAATACATGGTGATTTTTGTGTATGTTTGCTTTCCCCCCTACATTAAAAGTTTTTTTAAAAAAACCCAGTAGATTCTGGTCTTTCGCTTATGGTCAGTGCCATGTACCAGTGGCCACAGCTTAAGAGCATGTTTAGACATAATATTTAAGTGTAAAGATGTTTCTCTTTTATGACTTGATTCCCAAACTCTGCCCATCTTTCAAGTCCAGGGACTCTCAATTCTAGCTACATCTTAAATTCAGTCAGATTTTAAAAATCCAATGATTGGGATCCACTCTCAGCAGTTCTGGTGTGGTTTTCCTGGGGTAAGGTTCTTTTTTATCTTTTTTATTTTTGAAGTTTACCAGATTTGGGACATTGTGGACATGCAACCTAAATCAATTAAGGAACTTCATATTATGAACTTGGTTTGAGGTGGGCTGGATGGGTAATACCTTGCAGGGCAAATGAGAATACACCCTGAAGGAGGGCATACCTATCTTATGCCTAGGCCTCCACACATAAAACATCAAGAACAACAAAATACTATTAAGAATCCCTTGGGACAACAAAACCACAACTGAATGCTAAACAGCCATCAAAAAACAAGACTGGAACCTAGCAAAAAAGACCTTCTGCGACTGGAAACATAAAGAGGGAGCCACAGCAGGATGGTAGGAGGGGTGTGCTCGCGATATAATTAGGCCACATACCCCTGGGGTGGGCAACTCACAATCGCTGATAACCTAATGGGAGTTCCCTTATTTGCTATTTTTGCTTTTCTCTTTCAATTTCTAGAAGCCCTCAACTGTGAGATCCTCAGGCAATATGAATCCATACATTACAGTGATAGCTAGCCCTGTTTGTCACTGGTAGGTAGATAACATTGTACCAGTTACTTCCCATAAACCCTACCCCACCTCAGGTCTTTATTGTAGTTGTTCCTGTTTGGATTATGGGGTTCATTTTCCACTCTACCCTCTATATGTAGATGTAGTGTTATATATTGTTTATTTCTAATCAGTATTAATTTCCACCTTTTTCTTTTTGTTGTTAATGGAGGTCCTGGGGATTGAACCCAGGACCTTGTGCATGCTAAACACACACTCTACTATTGAGCTATACCCCACCACTCTAATTACCACTTATTTTTTTAATGCCCTCTCCTGTGTCTCAGGGGCTGGAAATTTCATTTTCTAGACTACTTGCCACTACAGCGCTGACTATAATCTAGTTACTGCCAATGAGATGCTTTCATATAAGATAAAGTAAGAAGGGAGGTAGAGGCCTTTCTACTTGATATACAGATTTCAGCAGATGCAGGCTTCTAACTCATCAAATACTAGCAAATTACAGTTTCCTGTAATTTCTGACCTCCAAATGACAGGTTGATTAGTGTGATTTTAAAACCAGTGGCAATCTCCTGATGCTTGGCCCTCTAGCCCTTCCAAAGATTTGGAAGCATCTAATCCCCTATATTGAATCTCCTTCTGTTTGAAATACCTAGGATACCTAGAGATATTTCTATTTTCCTGCCCTGAATCCTCATATATGGGTTCTACTGCTTCCATGATAGCTGATTAGTTCACAGATCTACAGTTTAAGAGTGGGCCCATAACTTTATATAGGACCATTTATGTTCCTTCCACCTTGCCTATTACATCTCAAGGAATAAGTATCACTGAGTGATAGAACAGGTTATCTAATGTGTTCTGAGCAGCCCAGCCTATAACTTAACTGATAATGCTTTCATGTTGAAGTAATTTGTGTCACTTTACTCCTTGTTACAGAGGAGTGGTAAAAAAGTGATGGGCTATGGGTAATTAATAGATTTGCCAAAAATGGGCCCAAGTCTCAGGTATACTTGTCATGCCAGTATATTATGTATTTGTCATGTCATGTCTACAGACAAGGACTTCTGAATCTTTTTTTTTAAATCACACACAGAGACAAAAGAAAATATAAGCCTACCTTATTTTCTGGATTTGGGCAATAAGTATAAAGTAGGTTAAAAGGTGGTAATGTAGTTGAAGAAGTAGAAATTACTTGTATGATTCTGAACTAGAACAAATAGTCCTAAAATTTATATGCAACCACAAAAGACCCAGAATTACCAAAGCAATCCTGAGGAAAAAGAACAAAGCTGGAGGCATAACCCTTCCAGACTTCAGACAATACTATAGAGCTACAGTAGTCAAAACAGTATGGTATTGGCACAAAAAAACAGACATATGGATCAATGGAACAGAGTAGAGAGT